TAAAAATATTTTTTATATTTTTAAAATTTTAAAAACCAAACAATTTAACAACTATAGTTATAAATTAGCACATCCAAACTAAACCTGAGCTTTCCCAAACTGCTCTCGATGGCACAGGTGCCTGCACCTCCAATTAATTAAGTTCTCGAATTGAGATTGTAAAAATTTGTGGTAAGGAAGGATAGTATTAGTGTTAAAAATAACATTCATTTAGTAAAATTTAATTTTTTAAAAATATTACATAATTTAAACAATAACGAACTACATAATTTAAATTATTAAATAAAAAATAAATCCTTCAATATTAAAGTTATTCTTTAATCTAGTTACTTTTTTTTATAATTTAATACAATCAAATAGTAAAATAAAAAACTCATTTAAAAAATCTTCAAATGCAGTCAGCCTCCAAAGGTAAGGTCATTTTTCAGTCTCCGTTGTATTTTACCACAATCCCAAATTTAATTTGCTTCTCATAATGAAATAACTTAAGTAATCAATCTAATAACTCTTTATATTAAGATTTACAAACTTTAAAATTTTTTAAATTTAAATTATTAGTAATTAATTTCAAATCTTATATATTATTCATCCATCCTTACGTAGAATTTTAGGCGTCACACATAACCGAAAAAACTTTAAGAGGCCTACTACCTTGTGGCTTGGGTCGAGAGGATTGCATATTTGCGTTTTGTTGATTCTCTTTCCTTTAAGACATATACACCCTTTAAGACATATATACCCTTTATAGTTCCACTCTTTTAGAGTTCATATTTTGTAAGGAGAGTTTTGTTTTATAATTTAAATTATAATAAACTACATAATAAGAATTGTTAACAAGCAATAATTTTTAATATTAAAAGATTTGTATTCATATTATAATTTAAATTATGTAATTTAATATAATAAATACTTCACAATAAATTTTTTCTTTTTTTCTATAATTTAAAGCCCCTGATTGTAAAATATGTCATTAAGTATAATTTTTTTAATGATTTATATTGTACACTCAGTGCAATTTCATTTATTTTTACTGCCAATAT